GAAAAGAATGCATAGCATTCCATGTAAGGAATGAATTGAAAAACTTTGGTTTTGGAAGCAGTTCTTACCAATATTGTGTCCTGAAAACAGAGTTCTACATCATCACTGAGCAATGACTCAAAGGTTATACACTATGGATTTTTAATCCCGAATAATTTACTTTGAGTTTTGGCAAAGGAAATCTATCAAACTCTTCATTTCTCTTTCATCTTAAGATTTTTCTCTCATTTCAAGGATAAGTGGCATATGATTGAATCCTTTTTATCAGACAGTTGTGCAATGTCTTGATCATATATCCTTTTTTGTTTACTGCAGTATCACATTACACAAGGAGCTCAGAGCAGACTCTTGCTTTTTCATTTTGCAAAGCCAGGCTTCTGCTAAAGGGAGGACATCATGACTGCATGTTGCAACTATGTATTACTGTGTATCTTGAAGTCTCAGGAAATTTTGAATTGCTCAATCAAAAAAACCAAACAGTAAACAAGTATGATACCACTTTTTACTAGCATTAAAGAGAACAAACAGAAGCAAATGCTTTAAGTCATGGCTGTTAATATTTTGATTCTTTAAGAATTATGTTTTCATTTATCTGAAGTAAATACATACAAATTATCCCCAAGGGATTATCATCTACTCTCCAGCAGCGCTCTCAGTAACCATGAGATCCAAGAATCCATTTACTTTTCATCACATGTTGTAACCTGAACAGTTATGCATTTCTGGTTTTGCTATTTTACTTCAGTTAAAAACGCCAGTTGTTTTATTTTCCTCATTGTTTGGAAAGAGTAATTCACTTGATGGTCGTATGAACTGGAAATCTGTGCCTTGGACAAGGTTGTTCATGCATAAGACTCCCTGGTATTCTTTGGTTTGGGTTCTAATGCACCTACTCAAAGATGCCTCAAAACTTTTGTCTGATGCTGGTGGTTTATGTCCAGTTCTTACATTAGCAAAGAGAATACTTGAAGTATAAACTTGAGACGTATCTGTGTCCAAACCTGTATTGACTTACCTGAAGTAGGGCAAACCCCTATGAACAGGCCCGAGGCAAAAGCCTGAAATAGTAACGAGATGCAAATTGTCCCATTTATTGCCTTGAGATTAAAATCCAAACACTATTCCTTGAGCTCTACAAACAGCTTAATAGGTGACCAAACTGCAAAAAGTAAAGGGAGATTACAGAGATAACTGACTCTGGTTGCAAGTCGGAAAGTTTGGGTCGCAAGTAAAGCCCTACTACGAAAGGTTGAGGTGCGTGTGACAGCCGAGGGAGGGAAGCTGGACGTGCATCCTGCAGCGTGCACAGGCAGAACGAGTTCCTCACCAAGGGCTACCAAAGAAAAGTCCAGCTCAGGGAAAACAAACAAGTCTTTTCGCTTCCAGCAAATAGCAGGCAAGTCAGGATTTATTCTTGACTCTCAAGGAAGCAAGACATTTGTGGGCTCAGTTTGGAATAGCACCTGTGATTTCCCCAGGCTTCCGCAAACCTGCTTTGATTAAACTCATCAAATTACTTTTCATTGATGCTTTTCTCCTTAATGTAGATGTGTTCCAAACAACTTTAGTAGGAACAAATCCCTGGAAAGGTCAGATTGTGTATTTACTTGGGATTCTAAACATGCCTGCTAATTTGGGGAGAAGACAAAAAAATTCAAGACCAGGATTTTTGGTAGAGATTTACCAGCTGTTCAAGAGCTGAGGCAAATTTTCACAACGCATTCTGTGTGTTCACACATGTTAGTAACAACTGACTTGAGGATAATGCTACTAGCGTCTTTAAGCTGACCACGCAACTGCTTATTTTTAAGAGTTTTAGGAAATTGTGAAAGCAGTTACTTCAAAGGTTTTTTTAGAAACATTCATGGTGAAGCATTCAGACTCATTTCCTGGTGTTTGATTTAAGGTATAAGAATTAATTTTTTGTATATAGTTACAATTTATTTTGAGGAATAAAAGAAAAAAGTACTTAGCTTTACAATAAACATTGAGTTAATTCAAATTTATTCATGAACATAGAGGTATGATGGCCCATAGGATGACTTCAAGTCTTTTTTAGTACCACTGTCTTTGTGGTTAGGTCAGATTGTAAACGTACCCAACTGGAAATACAAATGGTAATGCAAAGTGAAATTCTTACTATGATTTTTGACGAGTAATGAGTGTCCTATATTCCAGGAAAACAGTTGGCCTAGTTAACGAATTAAGGAAAATATGGTGTGTATTAGCTGCAAATACATGTAAACGTAAAACAAGCGGGTCTGCCATGCTTTCTTCACACATTCACCATTCTTACTAGTTTTATCTAGACACATGGCTTTCAGCGACAATATCGCTGCCATCAGCTCCAAGACAGAGATTCAGTTTAAATGCCCCCCCCCGCCCCCCCAAGTAACGCAAATGCAGTATGAGGAAGCGACTCATGGTTAACTGGGTAGCTGCTATGAAATCACAAGACTGGAAAAAAACCCACTCTGAAACAAGGTGGTACTAATGGAAGATGTGGAGGAAAAGGGAAGACAACTGAATTCCTACAGCTATTTAGTGAATCGGGGGTTTAAAACACACATTGCCACAGCAAACTGAATGTGACCCAATGTAGACAAAATACCAGTTTTCAATACCCTGTCAATTTAACAGCTATGATTGTGAACACTCCTGTACGTAATAGTTATGAAGGATGTGACAGAAAACCAAAGAATTTTAAATTGTTTGATGGTAAACCCAACTTGTTCCCAAGTACAAAAAAGGCTATGTCCTCCGAGAGGTATTAACTAGAATGCAACAAATTGAAAACATTATATTCAATTTAGAAATCTTACGTATACACATTACCTTTAGCAGACACATTAAACCTTTGAAGCAACATTAATTATATATACCTTTTATTTTCTCCTCTAAGAAAGGGAAAAAAATTCTAATACAGTTTATATAAAACACTGTGTTTGCCCACCTAAAAGATTAATTTGAGGCATGACGCTTTGAAGGAAGCCTAATTTTCAGATCATGGGCTTCTGATAATCATATGAACTATGATAATCACATTAACTGCTAATTATCAGCTACCAGCATACAAAATGAGCATTCTCCAGACATTATAGTCATAGGAGGCATTACCTCCTCAGCACTTAAATGGCACAGGGTTAAATACTCGGTTTTCTGTGGCTGTTCTGCACCAGTAGGTCCGCAGTTAGTCTTCTGTCAGGAAGACGAACTAACAGACGACGAGGCGTACACAAGACGACAAAATACCCACAGCAGTGCATATGCAACAGTCAGTGCTGACAGAACAGATTCAAGTGTGCAGCATAACAATGCCCGGAGAAGGGCCAGAAACAGGAGTGTAGGGCCTTCAACCCGGCCCAGGGTTCCAGTGTGTTATTAAGTACTTTCTTACACAGAAGTAAGTTTTCTGGCACAACTGTAACTTTCACAGTGAGAGAAAAATATTTGAGAAATAGAGGGAGTCTCACATTTCAGTGCAGTATCCACACTGCAGAGGTATGTATATGAACTCATAGACTCGGAGTCTGAGATGACCTTCTAGTATAAGCATGCATTAAGATTCCTGGGAAAAACAAAAGTTACTGTACCCTTATGTTCTTTTGCTTGAGAAAATCCAGTATTAGCCCAAATCCATCAAAATAATTTAAAAAAAAGTATTTTTATTGGCAAGCTTATTGTTCAATAGTTTGTCTCTTATAGGTGCTGCTATTTCCTCAATGCCGTAAGCCTGCTCCTACGTCTTCTCACCTGGAAACTTCTCATTCATCTAAAATTTTAATTCATCCAAAAAAACCCACCATTTCTTCTTTTTACAGATGGAAAACCACCACCCCCATAGGAATTTGCTCCAGTTTTATCATCTAAATCTTCTCCTTCCTGTTACTTGCGTAACTCATGAATAAAGAAGTGTGAATATTTTCATGATAAAACTAATCAGCTTTGGAATAGTGCACTAAAACACACAGCAATATCACTCTGTCAGAGTATGTGTATTTTCAGAGTTCTCTCATCATGGCCACGAGAAGCGTTCTCTAGAGTTAAATATTTGATACAACTTCAAGATTATCTGATTAGCACATTCCTTTTTTTAGAAGATCAGCTTTTCTGATTTTTCGTGTTTTGACTATCATCAGTAGTATTTGGCTCTTTAAGCATTCTCATCTTCCCCCCGCCCCCGCTTTTTTCCTCCTCATTTCAGCTGATTGCTCTGTACCCCCTCAAAATAACTTTCTCATTCGTGCTGCTCTGCTGCTAGTCCGCTAAATCAATCAGATCTTTGAGAATTTTCATCTTTGTAGGTAAGTTATTTTTCGTCTCCCACAAGGATGTCAGGGATGCTTTTGTGCTATCAACTTCACCATGGTTTTGGCTCACCTATATCCAAAAAGCAAAAATAAACACAATGCTGTCAGATGAAACAGCACAGGCAAGAATATGAGAATACCTAATGGAAGACAACACTTTGATTGAGACAGAGCAGGCGATGCAAACATCAGGAAATACTCTTCAGTAGTTTTGCCAATGTAGCTCTTTTCTTACACATAGTAATAACGCAAAATTCCATTGATCAGGATCTTTTCTCCATAAACATGGGTGTTTTGTCATGACAGGCGCAAACTGAGAAATGAGGCTAAATACAGAAAACCTGGTATTAACAGTCATCATTCAAACTTTTACCAAAGTTTGTCAGGTTTAACCTTCTGCACTTAAATATAGCTATTTTAAATATCTGCAGTTTCATTCAATCATTTTCTTCTGAAATGACTGTCTCGAAAGACCCAGTGTGGGCAAGTCAGAATATCGGTCTAAAAATATAGCTGGCACCATGAAACAGTTTTGAAAAGCAGTTAAGTATGCTTAGTTATGTGTTTGGTTAGCTTCCTCAGCCCTTTTTCCCTGAACAGTTCACAGTATTATTTCAAATATTACTAACCAAGCTTGATAACAATGTAAGGTTTCCAGCATATCACTTTCAGACAAAACAAAGTGAGAGGTGAGTTCTACAGGTAACTTTTAATGCAAGTCTTGAAAATTTGAGAAGATTCTGATGTTTTTCCCTTCCCAATACATGTGATTGCATTTATTTACATACATTTTTACCTTTTGCTATATGTTTGTATTATTTATTGCCAGTTACCCTTTTCATTCTTAAACAATAGCACAAATGGTTTATAGTCATGACACCTCACAATAGCCTTGCTTGCCATTTATGCAAAATCAAAAAAAATTAAGCCTAAATACTTTCTTTTTTAAAATCTTCTGGCAAGTTGGGATTTGCTCCTCACTTATTAATAGCTGTGCTTGGCAGAACACACCAAAGGTGCCGATACTCCTGACAAATCTAGATGAATTTCAAGTTAGCTGACGGGAGAGAATTTTCTTCAGTTCTTCATTTGGCTCTTACTCATCCCAGGTATCTCCATATTTATTTACTTTAACTAAAGAAAAGAAAAAAAGAAGTAGTCACATATGACTTTATTTAACTGCAAAAGTTTATCTTGTACAGTGACAAAAAGTATGACGAAATGCATTATCGTTTAAAGTGGTGAGTGGGGAAAGCATTAGTCACAGCACAACAGACATCTAATTAAAGCTACTTTTGAATAAATGGGGAGAAGAGTTTGTTAATCATTATTCTTTAATGAATTAATATTCAGTCAAGAGGCCTACTGTGCTAATCCCTGCTCCACAGAATTTGTAATTACTTTGAAACAAATGTAACGTGGATGAAACAAAGACAATTGGAGGAAACAGGCAGGGAATGTTACAATAAATAATGTGGCTACATAATCTAGTTACGTGCACAATTGGATGGATTCAGGATAGTTAAAAACACGTTCAAAGACAAATAAACAAAATTCAGTAATCCCTACTAGGAAACTACTCAGCCATTATTATTTGGCCACTTCCTTTAGCATAGGAGTGAGTCAGAGAATAAAAAACCCAGGGTACTGGTCTTAACAGATTTATTCAGGAGCATATCGTGCGTAACTGAACAATGACCAGAATGTGGAAAGATGCTCTCCCGAAAGCAAGCTGCAAAGCAGTCTGTAACTGACTGCCATCACTGACGGGGAAAGGCTGGATCTACACAATCCAGTATGAACGCTGACACTAGTCAGGCACCCCTTTATAAATCTACCTGCAGGTTAATTACTAAGCCCACTGTTTATTAATACCTATCTGCAGTAGAACCAGCAGAACAGAGCAGAATGTACAGTCCCTGTTTCAGTGAGATGTCAGCAAACTTAGCATAATGCTCTGACAAATCTCTTTTAAGCTGACTGATATTGCAGCAAGGCACAATGAGAAGCGCTCTCAAAGTACAATTTGACTTCCATTTCTATTAACAGTGGCAGCTGAGCAGGCTGCGCTCATTCTCTGGAAAATGGTCCTGTCCAGATCACTGTGCAGATGCATATATTTGTACGGCTACAAAGAAAGGAGAAGGCACCAGCAGATGGAAGTTAGGGCCTGCTTAAAACTGGTTTAAACATGGTTTGTTTTCCCTTATGTCTTTGCAACCGGGGGCAAAAACCACTGTGTCCTGTTTGCTAGTCCAGTTCCTACAACACAGAGATAGGAGGAGGAACAGAGGGACAATGACTCGGGACGTATGAATAGGCATACAGCAAGTAACATCTCCAGTGTGACACAAAAAGCTAAATCAGCTCTTAGACCGCAACATCACTAGAATCCTGGAACTGTAGATTTAAATGTACTTCCACTTGTAAAACGTTTCTGAACTTTTGTATCTCTCCTTACTCTTTTACCCTAAAAATACAAGAGATACTCCTAAGTTTATTTACAAATCTCATGCACTGCTCAGTGTAGTTCTATTCTCAAAGCCTGAGTACCACCCTCCAATAGAACACAGAAATATAATAGGGTGCAATATTTGATCAACATTGTATAGAGGTCTTTTATAGATCTCAAATAACTAAAAACAAAATAATTCATGCATATTCTTATTTCACAGCCACAAGGTTTGCCATGGAATATGGCAAGGTTTGCAAAATGTTGCTTAAGATTTCTGTGTACAGTTTTCAAGTGACATTTTAGCAGGCATGATGGTGTTGGATTGATGGTTGGACTTGATGATCTTAAAGGTCTTTTCCAACCTTAATGATTCTGTGATTTCTAGCCTTTCTATTATGGAGAAATATCTTGAAAAAGAAACGCGTAAATCAATGAAGTGTTAGCTGATGGAATTTAGAAGCAATCTGAAACTACAGTTTTCAGTAATTTTTTAACGTCTCACATGGCATAGTCACATGATAAGAGAAAACGGCTTTCATCCTTGAAATAACAGATTTAAATCGTTACCCAATAATTGTTTATAATTTTTATTTCAAGACTGTGCAGATCTGTCTAAAGACATGATCTGGAGAAAGTAATTCACAAGCATGAAATAGATGGGACCCTCTTAAGCAACGCTGTTGCCAAGCTTACTATTACAGCTTCAGAACTTTTTGCATTAATATACTATTCTACTTATTACCACCTGTTATGCCTAATAGGAGACATTAGCTATTCCTACAAATCTTGTAGCAACGTGATTGACAAGACTGGACACTGCATACAAACCCAAATGATTCACGCTGATTAGTCCAACAGTGTGTTAAATGGTAAAACATTCCTCTTGGTAACATCATTTTCACCGATGTCACACTACATAAAAAGTTCTAGAGCAACCAACTACGAACCGTTTCACTATCTACTTTTCAGAAAATTGATTGAGTAAAAAAGTTGACTGAATGGCATCTTATTCTTCAGGACATTGCATTCTTATTTTACTGTGTAAACTTTTGGTTTTTACTGTGAAAACAAATCCCAATATTGCTGCCAAATACTGTTTCCTTCCTTTGAGTTTTAATGCAGAAAATGAGCCTCTACAAACAATGCCTCTATAGAAATCCTCTAATTCCACATGAAACAATTCATAAAAATAAATACCCCCCCTTCAAAACCATCAACCATGTGCTCTATTTTGAGAGAACAATGCTATCTAAAACATACACCCCCTTCCACTGCTAAAATGCCTCAGTACAGCTCTGAGCTCAGAGAATTCTTTGTTGAAAGAGGTTGCTCGATATATTCAATAAACCAAAAGTTATGAGATTTTCAGTCTGGCACCAAGCAATATGGCTGGAGAAGAGGAACTGGAGTGTGCTATTGGAAGATCGATATTTTTTTTAAAAAGAGTTAATTTGAAATATGAAACTACAGACCACACCACATATGAGATACCTGCAGATACTGTAAAAATTAATTGCTAAAAGGGTAAGCAGAATTAAGCCTTGGGTTTGTAACCGTATTTAACATTATTGCCAATATTTGAATTTACTACATATTTCTATAAATCAGTGTATTACCTTCCTTAACTGGTTTTTCCTGTGAAAACTTGCTTGGAGTTTCTGGCTTTGGTGGTAGCATTACCTCATACGTCTCTCTGTGTTTATTCCTTAATTCCTCATATGTGATGCCTTTTTTTTTACGACTTTCTTCTGGAATTGGAGCAGGATCTGAAAGCAAAACAAATGCCAAAATACTAGAAATGGCATCCCACACCAAAACTTGGTTACAACCTATTCTAGAATGCCAGTTAATTACAGCTCAATCCCAAATGAAAAGGAGTATGACAGCTGCAATTCTAAATGCAACTGAGAATGTATCTGGTCTTTAATTAATCCATTCCTTTTATCCTTTTCATTTTGTCAAGCTGCTTTGGAAGATTGGCAGTTAACTCCTTTTCTTCCAATGGAAATCCTAACAACCACGTGGTAGCTGATGCATAAAATAGTTCTGGTCACTCTATGGAAAATTTACGATAATCATACATTTGATACATCTATGATTTCTGAAGAGAAATTTAGGTGAAGCTCAAGGGTTTGCCTTCAGGCTTTAAGTTTTGCTTCAAAGAATTAGGACTACATCCACCATAAGTCACCTGGTAAACATTTTATCCTTTTATCTACATTTATAATGCAGAATCTTGGTTCTGTAATTAAGATTCTACCAACTATTGGTATTTGTGATGAAGAGTAATTACAATTTCCTCAACACTTTTACATCTGATACTTTTATGTAAGTAAAACTGAGTTGCATGAAAGGGCTTTTTTGTGAAATAAAACCTTTTCCACAAAGGAGTTAAAAAATCCAAACTAATACAAAGTACAAAACTGCATTTGACAGTGACTTCTTCCTTTGTGTACCAGAAAGACCTGAATTCAGAATCGTGTGTTTCTCCTGCAATAGCTGAGGACAGAGTTCATACTGGAAGGAGGGGAACAGCTGCACAGAACAGTACTTGAAAACCATTTTAGCTCTCTGTGAGAAAATCACCTGTTCCTGGACAGAACACAATATGCATTCAGTTCTCAGAAGATTTAAATGTTTGTCCCATTATAAAAAACAGTTTAATGTCACTGAATTATGGCAGCGTACAGTTACAGCACCCCTGTTGGTAAAAACAAAAGAACCTCAGACAGGCTAGCAGACAAATGGTAGAAACTACGGTTTGTTTAGCGCAGTGAAAGGATGGCATATTCACCTTAATTTCAGTTAAAAAGAACTTCAAGACAGGCTGAGTTTTTTTGCAGATTTAGTTTCACAACAGAATAAACCTTGTAAGTTAATTTACGATCTTTACTTGCAATTAGAGCTACAAAACATGAAAAAGCCCTGAATTTAGTTTACAGCTAGAACACCAAATAATACATATATTTACCTTCAAGCTGTTTCCTTCAAAAGCACTATATTGTACCATGTATGTTTGCATGGGATGAAAATATATCGTTTAGTAAGAGAAGTATCTAAGAGAAAGGCAAGAGACACTGTACTCCAAACTTATAAATATTAAGACAAAACACACCTTCAACAGTGTAATCAGTAATTCCTGTAGGTGAGGATTCATTCAGGGAAGCACTGAATGGAACAGGTTCATAACTGGAGAGGGCTCTATCTGTTGAACTATAATCATCTGAATAGCTGGAAGAAAGTGGGAATCCAGCTCTTGGAGAAGAAGATTCAGTAAATGACTGAGAAGGCATGTCCGAAAATTCAGATTTCCGACTGGAACGGCTGAAAAATAATATAATTACACATTAAATACAGAAATACTAAAGTTAAAAATGGAACTATAAGAGTAACAATATATGCAGTCTCTTATTTTAAATGGTTTAGTTTCCAACACGAGAAACTTGCTGGAAACTTTAAAAAATAAAAAAAAAAAGGAGAGTGATAAAAAAAAAAAAAAAAAGGTGTTTTTCCCAACACTGTTCCCTTCCTCCCAGAAACTTCTCTCATACCTGAAAATCTCTAGAACAGAACACAAGACAAAAGAGACAAAGTATTTTGCACTTTACAAGACAAAAATGACAATCCCTTCCCCCAGGGAGTCTTCAGACAGAAAAAACGCATCAGTCACAAATAGTACAGGGCGTGGCCATGTAACTAGTGGTAGCATGAACTAGTTATTTTAAAGGCCTTTTGGAAAGAATTATCATTTTAAAACCCTTCATCATTAGAAGCTGCTGTAACTGAACAATACCAAACAACAGAAGAAAAGGAGAAAGAATCTTGGGGAAATGAAATTATGAAGGTTTATTGAGTTGGTGAATTACTTATTCAGCAGAAACATTAATGAATTTTCTCTTAAGACAGAAAGATAAGATCATACAAAGAATACTCTGGAAGCTGATGCCTGATATTCTAAAGCATTCGCTATGTACTCGGAATGGTCCTGCAAACCACTCCGCAGCAACAAGTCTCTCTATCAAGAATGCCACCACTTGCTGCCACTAGAATGTCTCTGGAGTATTTACTCAATTTTTACTTCAAATTTCTGCTTAGCTTTGCTGTACTTTTAGTTTAATATGAAAACATTTGCAATTAGTCTTTGTTTTATTACATAATAAATAATAAACATCCATAATAAACAATCTCATAATAAACATAAATAAATCTCATAACAAACATACAGAGCTAAGCTATTTTATTGCCTCAACCATATTTTTAAAGTACATGCAAACACAGCTTTAAAGAACTATCTAATCTTTTAGGTCCCTACCTATTTTTAACTGCAAATCAGAATTACCAAAATACATTAATTACTAGATGTATAATGACCATGAAAATGTAATGCTTTCAGTTGCTGGCCTAAAAGGGTAGTATGTACGGACAAGAATGCAATTTGAATGTGTTTAGATTAATCATTCAATCAGGGAAAAAAGTGGCATTTATGACTTAAGAAATAAAATAGATTTTACAGAGAGAAAAGAATGGGCAACTAAAGGTTGAAGGGCCTTACTGGTGCAGCAGATAATGGCATTTAAACAGGTTCTCACTTAGAGTAAACACAGTTAATGAATCATGACAATTTCTTACTAAAAACTGCAGGGCGGTGAAGGGACCAGTCCAGCTTCATTTCAGCTGAGTTTATACAGTAAATATATAAAGTGGCAATTCCTAAAATTATATTTGATGCCATAAAAATGTGAACGTTTCAGAACAAAGGTAAATCTTGCAGACATAACTGTCGTAAATCTAAATTTATAAACTAATTAATAATCAAGTCCTTTAGAAATATTTAACAAATCTTAGCACATATATAGCAGGGCTACTCCTCACTGTCCAAACACTATTATCCCAGTTTTGAATCCAAGGTTTAAGTGAGATATTCTGTAAGTAGTTTCCAATTAAAAATTACTTGAGGTAAAAAACATTCTGGAACAAAACAGGAAATAGTTTTTAAGAACCTGATGAGTTTCTCATATGTACAGCATAATGCTGTTACAGATGTAAAGGACTTAAACAAACAGCAGTAAATTTGACCACCATGCTTCTTCCTGCACTGATATTGTTTACTGAGCTCTTTCCTTTGATAAACACTGAAATCATTTCCACCTTCTTCCTACTTCAGTCAAACTAAACTATGGGAAAAACTTCCAGAACATAACACTATTTTATTTCAGTCAACTTAGTTTACTTCTAAACTAAGTAGGCAACTTCTGCTGTCACACTACTGTAAGTAAATTCCATGGGAAAAAAACATTTAATTTACAAGGAATAAATTTTGCTTAGTAAAATGTTTCTTTTTCTACTCCTTAAAGCGATCAGTTGTATGCAAGGAGCTCAAAATGCATGTTTTATAGCTGGCCAACTGCTACAGATACAGCTTCCTGAAAGTGGTAGATTTGGGGTAATAGGGGAAAAGAGGGAATGTGCAGCTCTGAAGGCCTTTGAAAGCTGCAAATGTAGCCATGATCTGTTAGTGTTTAAAATGTCCTATTCAAGAATAAGTTTTAAATTTAAAAGAGAATTAAATTCTTACTTATGTGAACTATGTCTCTGAGCTTGTCGTAGAACATCTCCTATTGGGGAATCCTTCAGTTTCTTAAATTTCTCACTACAGATTGGCAAGTAGGATATCTTTCCAGCCAGGTATCCACACATTCCAGCAACTTTTTTAAAAGAAAAAAAGACAGTTTTATATGCTGTAGCATAACATTCAGCACAGTTTTAAAATCATAATGTCAAATAAATTATACAGTATCTTGAATAAAAGAAAAAAACCCAGCAGTTTAGATCTAAACCAAAACCATGCAGTAATCACACCTCTGCTTCTTCCGCAGACAAAGGGTACTACAAACAAATGCAACAGCTGAACAGAGACATAGAGCAATGACTTGGACATTGCATGAGCAACAGATGATTACAGCTACTACTTGAAAGGTGACAAAACAAGGAAAATAATTACATCCAGTTTTCCCAAGGTCCAGAAATAGCAATTAACTACCAAAGATGATAAACTAGTCAGTAATGAACAAAGGAGTAAATTCTGCTAATTTATTCCATCAGAACAGTCAGATCTTGAAAAGGCTTTCACTAGTATGAATAGAAGGCTAAATAAACTCAGAATTAGGCTCAGTATCTTCTGAAGAGGATTCTATGATATGCTTGCTGGAGGGCAAACAACTGAATTAGCTGAACCCTCTCAATCTCTAGGCAAACGCTTTCAATTTTGTGCATGAGATACTTTCATCTGCTAGACAAGACATAAGAATAAACGATCATGATAGTTAATTCTGGGCTTAAAACTGATGACTTCCATCACGTAGCTCCAAGTTTTATGAGTGGGTCAGAGCATGAAGGTTTCAATGGCAATTCACAGTTTTGCTGTTGACTTTGCAGGAAAAAAGGCCTAGATCCTTCTTTCATATGCAGAGAGTATTTTCTAAATACAAAGACTAAAGACACTCAATTGTCTTTAAGTCAGGAAAGAGTTAATTACCAGTGACATTAATTCTCTGAGGTCCTCACACTACAGATTACATCGCCTGGGAATCAATATAGAAGGGGATTTTACACTACCCTGCTGTACTGGTACTAAAATTATTATTCCTGTTCTAATGTCTGTATTTTCAAAAGAAGGTTAAAAATCCTTTTCCAAGGGAAAAGAGAAAACCAGCCACAACTAATGAGTGAAGTTTACAGATGAAAAATGTAAGAGTTTACCTATTTAGCAGGTCAAAAACATTGGAAGACACCTCAAATGCTACAAATACATGCAAAGGGAAAAAAATTACAAGCCCCTAAAAGGAAAAATGGGCCAACAAGAATTCAAACTAAGTATTTTGCAAAATAAAGATAAGCAGCAAAGCTGATTAATCTTTGGCATAAATTACAAAGAGAAAGTCTCTTTTTCTTGAAGCCTTCCGGTCAAGAAAAATGGAAGCATCTCTCCGGAAGATGTTTTACCCAAAGTAATTACTGGCTAAAATATTTGGTTCCTCTTATTACAGCCAGATGAGCCACATTTTCAAAGTTAGCACATTAAATTAGATATTGTTGCTTTCTGCTTCTTATGTATGTACTGTGACAAGACCTTAAAAAAGCTGATCAGAGATAGATAAAAGAGGCCAGGTCCCACTGCAGGCTAACATGAAGTAGGACATATGGATCTTGCCCCTCTTTGCCAAAGAGGGACAGAGGACCAATAGCTCTGTGCTACGTCAAAGGGGATGCTGGCAATGCAGAGTATCAGTCATGACTAACTACAAGTTCCTTTAAATTGTCAGAGTGCCTAGAAGACTACTGAGAAACGTTATGAGTAATTCCCACAGGCAGAAGAACATCCTGGAATCTGAAAAACCCTATCTAGAAGATGAAACACCTCTCAACTTCCAGATAAAACCAAGAGGGGCAAAGCAGAGAATCACAGAATCACAGAATCACTAGG